ACTTTAACAAGTATGGACACAAATAGTAACTGTCTTACTTTAACTATTAACATTAAACAAATTATATCATAAATGTCATCATAATTATAAATGAAATGATTCATTTATATGATTACTTTCCCAGGACTTGAGATGCAGAACCTTAACAGAATGACATTCTGTCTCAGCAGAAATTTAACCTGTCAAATGTCACTTTCACTTTCAAATTACATGCAGATAGATTTAACAGTTGTTAAGCTACTGACTAAAGCTTCCTGCTTTTCTCTAACTGGTACTGAGTGCTCATATTTCGGTCTTCACACTGTTGATTCAGAGTCACAATGTTCATTGACCAATCAGTTTGTCTTGAAAAACCTCATTTGCATATCGCTTACCTCCCTTAGCCTGTTTGTGTCTATTTATAGAGTGTAAAAAACTAGGTTAGTAGTTCTGCACATGCTCGAGCAATGAATCTTGGGATCTCATTTGCATACCGCTTACCTCCCTTGGTGTGACCTAGATGTCTATTTTTGGAAACGCGGAAATGAACTTAATATCATGACGAATGAAAGCTGCGATCGTTTTACAAATAATGTGTACTTATTAGCTCATGTCAATTATTTGAGAATGGAAGTTATTCTACGGAGATTTAGCCGTGTATACTTTGATATTGCCTCTCCACAAACATAAACATTAGTGTTTCATCGAAATGTCCCTGAAAAGTCCTTGAAAAGCCCTTGAATCTCATGGGCTCTTGGCCGTATGAACCCTGTAGATAGATTTGGTGGTGAACTGGTGCCTTTTGATAATGTTGGAATTCTGAATAAAATATTTTTTGCGTTTCCATGGAAGCAAATTTGACTTCAACTGAATTTGGCGGTAGTGCTCTTTTCCAGAGCAGAACTTTACAACAGTACAATATTTCTTCACCAAATTTGGCACTTTGATAGATCTAGTGGTGAACTAATGCCTTTTGGTAGTTTAATAATTCTGAGTAAAAAAGTGTTTTGCGTTTCCATGGCAACAAGTTTGACTTCAACTGAAATTATTGTTGGTGCTATTTTCTGGGAGCAGAACTTAAAAACCATTCACTATTTCTTCCCCAAACTTGGCATGTATACTAGTACTACTACTCACACTTTGCTAAGGTTCACAAAAATTTCACAACTGTACTTAGATTTATAATTTGAAATTGTATCCATTTAAGATTGGATAAATAATAATATGGTAACCCCTCTTTAGGCAAACAGCCACATTAATCTAACCTTGTGCACTTGATACATGAGTAACCATAAAAATGGTTTTCATGGGGCCAATCAACCATTTTGCAAATCATAGAACGAGTCATTGACGAGATAGCAGGTATGGAAAACCTAGGATCCATGCTTACAATAAGCTTAGGTATTTAAACCAAATTTGACCCCACATAATAGTTTTCTGTTGAATCCATGATTTGATCCTTATCAAAGTGTGAATAATATAGATCGGTCTGCTGGTGTACTGGTGCCTTTTGGTAGTTTTGGAATTCTGAATAAAATATTATTATTTTTTGTTTCCATGGCAACAAGTTTGACTTCGACTGAACTTAAAACCATTCACTATTTCTTCCCCAAACTTGGCATGTATACTAGTACTACTACTCACACTTTGCTAAGGTTCACAAAAATTTCACAACTGTACTTAGATTTATAATTTGAAATTGTATCCATTTAAGATTGATAAATAATAATATGGTAACCCCTCTTTAGGCAAACAGCCACATTAATCTAACCTTGTGCACTTGATACATGAGTAACCATAAAAATGGTTTTCATGGGGCCAATCAACCATTTGCAAATCATAGAGCGAGTCATTGTGAGATAGCAGGTATGGAAAACCTAGGATCCATGCTTACAATAAGCTTAGGTATTTAAACCAAATTTGACCCCACATAATAGTTTTCTGTTGAATCCATGATTTGATCCTTATCAAAGTGTGAATAATATAGATCGGTCTGCTGGTGTACTGGTGCCTTTTGGTAGTTTTGGAATTCTGAATAAAATATTATTATTTTTGTTTCCATGGCAACAAGTTTGACTTCAACTGAAATTATTGTTGGTGCTATTTTCTGGGAGCAGAACTTAAAACCATTCACTATTTCTTCCCCAAACTTGGCATGTATACTAGTACTACTACTCACACTTTGCTAAGGTTCACAAAAATTTCACAACTGTACTTAGATTTATAATTTGAAATTGTATCCATTTAAGATTGATAAATAATAATATGGTAACCCCTCTTTAGGCAAACAGCCACATTAATCTAACCTTGTGCACTTGATACATGAGTAACCATAAAAATGGTTTTCATGGGGCCAATCAACCATTTGCAAATCATAGAGCGAGTCATTGGCCGAGATGGCAGGTATGGAAAACCTAGGATCCATGCTTACAATAAGCTTAGGTATTTAAACCAAATTTGACCCCACATAATAGTTTTCTGTTGAATCCATGATTTGATCCTTATCAAAGTGTGAATAATATAGATCGGTCTGCTGGTGTACTGGTGCCTTTTGGTAGTTTTGGAATTCTGAATAAAATATTATTGATCCTTACACCCCCATTGAACATGGTGGGGGATGTCCCTGTGTGCATGTTTTGCTCACCAGGCCTGAGAGGTCTTGATTTTTTTACACAAATCATCTTTAGTCAGTGTTCACCTCTATAAACCTTTACATTTCCCATGGCTTTGTCAATGTTGAATGATAGATTCAGCTAAAGATGCATGTTGATAATAATACCACCATGCCTGTGGCTTTGACTCTGGTACAACCCTGAACATGTCCAGGGCGTCATGGAGAATGATGCTTTCAAACTTCTCTGGAATAGGCCCATATACGGCCTCAGAAGAATTCCAGCAAACAAACGTGATCTTGTCCTTTTTGATAAAGCCAATGAATTTTTTTATATCATTGAATTTTCTGTCCCTTTTGGCAGCAACGTGATTGGCAAGATTCAGGAAAAGCATGCTAAATATGCGGACCTCGCCTTTGAAATGTCTCGCTTGCACTGTACACTGTCGTCAGGCTCCCCATTGTTCTCGGTGCCCTTGGTTTGGTACCTCTTGATCTCTGGCGCAAATCAGGAGAGTGCCCGGGTTCTCCACCGGGAGCACAGCTCTTCTGACACTCTGGGTAATGCAGAAGGCTGCAGTGTTGGGGAGTGTACATATTCTTGGGAACGTTCTTGGTGGGTTCGACTAGGCAGCGTTTTCTGAGAGAAGTCCCATTCGCTGTCTGGGCTGCGTGTAGAGGGGGCAAGGGCCGAGCTGATGATGAGCCTTGCCAGCCTGACTGTGCCAGGATCACCCGAACCCTCTCTGCTGCATACTATCGTTAATCTGTAAACCATAATAATAATAATAATAATGCTAATTTTTACACCTAGAATCCAACATGATGCTGTTCTCTGGCGTTGACGGAATTGTACTTTCAAAGCCGCTACTGGAAGGGAGTTTAATACAAAATAAATTGAATACGATACTGAGTTAGCCATGTTCGTTAGAATTTGGAGATCACTCTTGAATAATCTTCCAGTTTCAAGCCAGAGATTTGATGTTTGAGACCATGCTCTTAAATTCTTTTAAACTGTTTGCCTGAACAAGTACACTTCTCACTGAACATGCTGAACTGGTAGGCCTGAGGGAGCTCAACTTAACTATATGTTAATCCTTTCAGTGGCAATGTTTTGTCCAATCTTCAGATTTTAGTTTTATCTGTATCCAGAGGCCCAGATAAGCTGCGTATCCGGGTAAAATACGCATAGAAAATTTCCAGTTACGCATTGAAAAATAATTGTTGCGTACCAATTACGCATTTAAAATGTAAGATACGCAAAAAGTTGAAAACAAATGCGTACAGAATATATTTATAAAAATCGCTTGCGTAATGAAAAAGACATCCATTGCTATCAAGTTGTACTGTTAGTCTAGGACAAGTGTTGTACTGTCAGTATAGGATGAGTGTTTTTTTATGAAATCATTTCCATTATATTTAAGTTGGTTTTGATTAGGTATGACATAAGGCAGAACATACCTGCTCAACTTACTCAATGACGTAATACTTAGGTGAGTAAAATGACTGAAATACTCACATATTTGAAAGCAGTGGGTAACAGAAAATGAAATACCCGCTCAACATTCGTAATACCCACTCCGAAAGAATACAGTGGGTACAGTACCCACGTGAGCTAAATCTTATCTGGAGCTCTGTGTATCTATGCAGAAAATGTTTGTATGTAAATGAAGACTGCAATTTTGTTAGTGGCTGTTTCTGTTATTGCAAACTGTACTACAAATCATGGTGAGCTACAATGCCATAGAAGTTTACTTTCTGTGCATTTGTGTATCCATATACTCTTCTTTTCTAGAAGCTATTCACCTATCACAGTTTCACACAATTACATATTTAGCTTGATCCTCACCTTGTGCCCTATGGCCTATAAAACTAGCTTGAAGCCAAGTTTCATTATGTGTCGCAAACTAATAGTTGTCCCTTGCTCTTTGTTCAAAAGGGTCCAAAGCCCTCATTTACTATGGGTTTGAGTGTTGATCAGTTTTGTGTTTTTATCAAACATCAGGGGTTGAAAAATACTATTGCCCGACTGCCGAGTGGAATTCTCCAGTTGGTCAAGTAAATATCCACATAAAACTTTACTGTGGTACAGTAGTGCCAAACTACTCAAATGTTTTGATATATGTATTTTGAGGATGAAATAAAAATGCAATTGCTACCAATTGATAAAGATTATTTGCTAAAGAAACCAAATTGTTAATTGTGGTCAAGTGGATTTTGGAAGTTTACTGGACCTGTGTCCAATGGTGTTTTGAACAAAAAAATCAACCCCTGAAACATGGAAAAGTCTAGGACTTCTATCATTTTAAGCTCTTCTTCCCAAAATACTGTAAACTGTAAATTCAACCTTCAGCATTCTTCATCTCATTCTTACGAGACAACCTTAGTTGATTGCTACTCCATTATCAATGAAAAGTATCTCTCTCTTTTTTAGACTCTGAACAGGATGTTGTTGAAAATGGCCAGCAAGTGGATTCAGGGACTCAAGAGTCCACTACGTCTTTCTATGATCAACCTCCACCCCTCAGGTATACAATGTTTTAGTACTTCTTGATTGTGTGCTTTAAGTAAAGAACATCAGTTCTCAGTTGTTTTTGCTGAACCTTGTAATGACCTTTGTTTCTAAGGAATACAGAGATTGCGTTGTGCTACATCATATTGCGGTGGTGGCCATACATGTTGTACACCGTCATCTTCATAATGGCGGCATGAATTCATCGGAAATGTTTGTTTGGTACCATTAGTGGGTTGATGCCTAACAAGGGAGGCTTATGATATGTGTAGGTCTGTCATTGTAAAAGAATTAAAAGTTTCCAGCTTGTTAACTTGTGCTATGGCATGTGACTTTCACTTTCTAGCACACATCAGCATTTTGCTTCCTAGCTTTGGCATAAAATTAAGTGTTTTACTCATAAATCTTAACTCAAAAGTCTAGTTGAAGTAAGTCAGAGGTTGATGTAAAGCATATTTTCTTTCTGAATACAGCAATGGGTCATCACATGTTGAGGATGTTGACGAGGCTGTTGGTGTAGCAGAAGAGGGAAAGGATGTTGAAGAGAAGCTTGAGCTGGAAGATGAAAAGTTTGATGAGAAGGTGGAGTTGAAGTCTTCTCCTGGAACTACATCTGCTGCAATAGCCCCGTCACCTGCAACTACAACACCTGCGACTGCCAGCACTATTACAGAATCATCGCATGACGATGAGGAGGAACCACAAGGTTGTAGAGGTTGTGACACCTCATTTAAATTGCTAAAAACTGATATCTTTGGTTTGTCTTGACTGCATGGTTTGAAATACATTTTACCGATATGATAGAGTAAAATATCATCCAGTTTTTGTCGCTCAACATTGCCAGTAATGTAGCAGTCTGATTTAGAGAGATGCTTTATGTCTGAATCTGTCCCTGCCTCCGATAATTATCCCCCGTAACACGTTTTGCGAGGTGTATTAAAATGGCTTATTCGTCTTTTCCGGAGCAGAACATAAGAAACATTCAATATTTCTTCACCAAACTTGGCACAAAGATAGGTCTGGTGGTGAACTGGTGCCTTTTGGTAGTTTTGGATTTCTGAATAACAAATTGACATCCAATGAGGGAAAAGCAAAGCGCCTATGAGCAGCTGAGGAGGATATTTGCATAATGATGATAATAATTATTTTTTACGTTTCTATGGCAACAAATTTGACTTCGACTGCAATTTCTGTCGGTGCTCTTTTCCGGAGCAGAACTTTAAAACCGTTAGATGTTTTATCACCAAACATGGCACACAGATAGATCTGGTGGTGAACTGATGCCTTTTTATGTTTTCGTATTTCTGAATAAAACAGTGTTGCATCCAGGCTGCGTGATTGCGGGGATTCCCCCCTATTAACGCACATCTCCCACAAAAAATGAAATCAATGAGCAACCTGTCACGCAATATAAATAAGCTCGTACCTATCATATTGTGTCAACTCACGCACCTGCATAATGTGGTGGTCTTGACGCATTTACATATCGCAAATCAAAAGTGTCTTTGGTATGTATATAAACAAGACTGTGAATCATGTTGATAAACTCTTCCGTTTGCTAAACCAAACCAGTTTCATCATTCTCTCTCTTCATGATAGACACCCAAAGCAGTTTCTTGACATATCTATTTTTGCTTTTGCATACATTAATGTATGGTATAGTTTATAGGTTTACTTCAGCCAATCAGGGTGGTGGTGGGGTAGCCTAATAGTTAAAGCGTTAGCTCGTCACGCCGAAGACCCGGGTTCGAATCCCCACATGGGTACAATGTGTGAAGCCCATTTCTGGTGTCCCCTGCCATGATGTTGCTGGAATATTGCTAAAAGCGGCATAAAACCAAACTCAGTCAGTCAGTCAGTCAGTCAGTCAGTCAGTCAGTCAGTCAGCCAGCCAGCCACTCAGGTGCTGCATATTCAGCAGCTCGGAGACGTTTGTAATTTCTTTAGCGTGATGATTGGTCGAAAACATCACGGCCTCATATCAAACTTAAATAGCCTGGCACAAAGAGGGTACACTTCAGAACGTGGTAACAGCGCGAACAATACACTGAAGTGCTGTCACACAACCTTAGTTATGATTATAAATATTTTACATTGATAGAGCAAAACCTGCAATTAGAATTACACAATGCTGGAATATATCTATCTTGAAAAAACAACAGTTTCAGATACTATATTAATCCGATCTCTGCATCAGAAGTCATCTCTCAAATCAGCGGTAGATCGCGGGGGACGTATGCACAGCTGATTGCTATTTCTGGCTCTTTGTCCGAGACAAATACACACGGTAATCTTAGTCCCTGCATGTAATACAATGCAAAGCAAAAACAAATTGGAACTGAAATGATAAACAATCTTGTCTAGTGATGTTTAATTGCGTCTTCTCTTGTTCATCACGCAAAGTGATATGTAATGTCGTTTCCTTACCCCGTGAAGAAAAGTTTCACGAAAGTGTAACCCGTAGATAAACCAACCTTCTACAGACAGCTGCGCGACGTGAAAATAACCTATCGTAATTGTGGATAGTAAGCATCAACAAGGCTCACGTGCAGACAAAGTGAATCAGTTAATGACAATCTCAACTGCAATAGACCGATCCAGTCCCGGCCGATAAGCCCCGCCCACTTCGTTTTTGACGTTAGGGGGGACAACCACGGACTAATCACAATGGCGTCACCGCCAGCGAAACATACGTAATTGCGAATGTTGTTGATTAATTCCGTTTGTTGTACTGCGGTATCCATCATTTGTGAATGATATTCAAAAAGGAAAGTTATACATATTTCATTTTCAATATATTTTAGTTGACAGGTTGTATAATTGGCGAGTTAATTGTATAAATGTAGTTAGATCTACATGCCCGATGAAAAATCGTCTCGGCCAGCTGCTGAGATTGGGAAGCGTATTTTCTATCAAATAATCTATCTGGCAATTCACGTTCATCTAAGATATTAGCAGGGGAAAGGTAACTGAATTATGTTGTTTGTTGTTTATTCTCAAAAATTCCCATCGTAATATTATGAAAACCGTGAACACAACCACATGTTCAAGTTGCAGATCATTTCAGTATCTATAAATAGATTGTCAAAACTGCGCGTGCCACCTTTATTTATTTATCCGTTGTTCAAATTTAGTTAAATTAGTAGTTTGTGAAAACATGGGTTTCTACCTTTCAAGGAACAAAGCAGGAAAACAGTATCCCGTCTACAACTTTGTCCACCTTGTTTGTCTGTATATATTATCTTGAAAACGTTACTGGACCTGTTGACACAGTATGTTTCCATGGATGTATCTGGACATATACCCAGAAGCAAATATTCAGCAGCTATTCTCAGTAAAATTTCTTTCTTCAAAATCTGTACACCATCCTAAAATGACACTGAATATAAGGAAATCCATTTTTTTAATAATCCTTTCCAATTTATTTTTCTATGTGTACTTTGTTGTGGAATCCTAATCTACAAACCTCCACTTATATAATGGACTTCATGAACTGCCAGCATTTATCTACAGGTATGTCACACCACCATAAACACAAAGAATCCAAGATACAGTCTGCACCTGTACACTGACACATCTTCCATAAATAGGAAACGTGTGATGCAAAATATTTGAACAGAGGATCCACAGTTATCCGAACAATTAACTAGCATTGAAATAGAATGTTACACGACATACAAATATACTGCTTTTTTCAGATATATTTAACTGCTAACTACTAATGTAAATAAGAGGCAAAGAATATATTCAAAGTTTAAAGCTTTTTGTCAATAAATTACATATTGACATTATTGCTTCTTAAACAATGATAATCTTTGTTTTATTAGATCTGAGACCATATCCCTTAGAGACATAACACTAATTCTGATCTATTTCCTTTTCTGAGATACTTTTGTACTTACTAGTGTCATCAAAATTATATTAAATTTGCTTATGAATTTAAACTTATTTTCCAAATAAGCATCAACAAACCTTGAACAATTTGTCCAAAACCAACATCTTAGTACACTACTTTGGCCCAGTCTTCAAATATTTGTAACTTCCTCAAAAGCTGATGATTTCTAAGAAGTATTAAATGAAATCGGGGTTGAATATATGTTTCAATATCCATTCCAGTTACATGAACAGTTATTTGGTTCCAAAACTGAATAATGCCTGGGTGTGACCACAACGTAGCCTTTGGGTTTTTTTCAAATTCTCTGGATGTTGAAATAACTTTATTATAAGTGATGATACTAGTGATCAATCTCTGAATAATCTTATTAGTAAACATATTATTTAAAGACCAAATATATCTTAAAACAAACTAGCTAACTTAATTAGTACCAAGTGATTGTTCAGCCATGATATGTATATAGTGTTTGTTTGCCTAGTTCTGCCTTAAATTCACATGAATCTGATATGTGAGTCAATTAAGTAATTATTTATAATTGATTGGATTATTATCTATTTTATTACCTTTCCACGTTTCCTGAAGGAGGCAAGATTCTTAAAACATACTTTGCTATCATTTCCAGTGAATTATAATTAAAATGACAGAACTATGTAATTACTCCTAAAATGTAACCCACCCACCCCACCCCACCCTACATGTAAAAAAAACTATGCTGTGACAAAAGATCAAAACAAATAATGTTCTCATAGTTAGGAAATAAACTTATATTTCACTCCGTCCGATATTCCAGAAAGTCACTATTCTTCTAACATAGTTTTCGTCTCCGATCCACATGGAGTAAGCTAAATCAATTCAAGGTCCCATCTCTTTATAGAAATTCTGAAATATTTAAGACATGGTTTTATAGACACTCATTTGAATGAATTTTGATGTTTTGATATTGCGTGATAGGCACTGACACTGACACTGAGCACTTCAGATTGTGCTTTTGAAACTTTAAAATATCCTAAAATGTGTGACAAATTTAAGAATATCTAATCGCGAATGCAACCATATCCACCACATTGTTCTTTAATGTAACAAAGTTTTGCTATTTCGGTCGACCCTAACCGAAATCAACTCGCTGTCAGATTTGTTTACATTGTGTCACGGCTTTCTCGCCTGTCTCTTCTCAGGTTTATGGTGTACCAACTCAATGCCCAGTAGTGACTAAAAACGTGAAGCAAAAACAATTTTGTAGTTACAAGAATTGTCTGTGTTTATAATACTTTCAAAATCCTAAACTGCTATTTGTTGTCATCTATTGGTAATGCTTTTGCACATGTGCGAAAGTGTGTAAATTCGTGCAAATTCTCACCTTCGAGCAGACGTAGGTTTCGTGAACGACGGTGCCGACATTTAACTACTCCTTAGGCCTATCGCATTCCTTGATCCGCCTCAATTTTTTTGTCTTGATCGTAATGGTTTTGTTAAAGGTACACATCAAATCGCAGCAATATGTAATAGATATAGCGAGTGTAAATGGCATAATTCGAAGCACATCGCTTCGGAGGCATCGTTTGACCCCGGAAATAAGTCTGACTAATCCACACAGCGCGCCCAGCCTGCTGATTGGCCAAAATTGACGCCATGCGCCAGTTTTGATTGACAGACTGGATCGGTCTATTGATCTAAGGAATTTCCCTATAATGCTGCTGTTGCAGCAGCATGGAAAGCTAAGAAAGAGAGACGCTTATTTCACAAGTGTTGAGCCAAAGGCCAGGTTAGAAAACTCATGTGAATAGTTAGGCATTGTTGTGACGGCATCAGTAGTACAGTAAATATCTATCTTAACTGTAATGCTGACAAACCACCCCTTTGGTATCAGGTCCCCCCTCTTTTAAAACAGTTAAGGGGGATGTCCCCCTTGATCAAACATTCCTGGATGCAACACTGTAAAATATTGTTTCCATGGCATCAAATTTGACTTTGACTGAAATTGGTGGTAGTGATCATTACTCGCTTACTTTATGGGTGTCCAAGAACCTAATGACATAAATCACAGTACCACTCCATATCATCATTACTGAGGAGGTACATCAAACCGTACATTTGACATAGTCATAACTAGTTGACAGTCATGAAGAGTATTTTACCATTGCGGAGAATATTGATGACTTTGCCTTGTTGTTGTCTTTGAAGATGATAATTTCTTTGGCAGTTTTTGGATATATTGTGTGTATCATCTACTAATACCTTTTAATATTTTTTCATGCCAAGAGTTGGTGTCACTGCACAAAAACAGGAAGATCATTCATCATATGTTCCCTGGCAGCCATAGTGAAAGCTGTTTGTTGCTATTCGGTGCTAGCTTACTTGTTAAAACATTAGGTTTTACTGCTGATGGCTAAGTTAAATTGACCAATATGTACATCCGGTGTTTTAGTAGTTGATTGAATGTTGCTGATAGCTGCATGAAACGAAACAGGCTCATTATCATAGGATTGCAGTAAAAAGAATATATTTTATCCAGTTGTCAGGAAGCGATAATCCAGCCTAGTCTCCAGGCCAATTAAATTGTTCCACATAGCTGAAGAAAGGAGGTACCAACTGCATTGATAATTCGATATGTAGTTAAAGTGTGTGCCAATGTGAAAATAGTTTCAGTGAGATTTTGTTAGAGGTTATCAGTAGGGGTGTCGCGATACGCGAATGTATCGATGCATCGATACATTTTTACTGACGATACGATACGCGATAAATGCTTGTGCGTATCGATTCCTATTTTAAAACTTTATCGATTCAATTTTTTATGCTATATCCATCTCCTTCAAAGTCTTGATAGTAAAATTATACGAGACCGCTCCAATAAATAGATGTAGCTAGCTTTACTTAAAAAATAGGTTAGAAACTAACAGCTTTTGTGATTGGCTTGACTATTTTGATGGACCAATCAGCGAGCGCGTACGTTGCCGGTAAGGTAATGCTATGAAAAGGCGCGAAAATTATGTATCGCGATTAGTGGTGTTCCGATGATCGATTATAATCGAAAATTGATTGGTTACCCTTTTCCGACGCGACAATCAATTGCAAAATTTCATAATAGATTGTCGCTAATAATTTTTACGAAAACAGTAATGAATACCCAACTCAGACCACAAGACAACTGGCAGTTACAGATGATTATAACTTCGGTCCGCATTATTCACAAAATTCACAATCATATTGCGTCTACTTACGCCTTGAAATGAAGTGAAGTTGACTGAAAATGGATACACAGTGTATATATTTTGTTTCACTTAATGTCATATTTATTGAAGCTGTCGATCACAACAAACTGGCTTGCACACTCCGGCGCAGCGATGACTTGCATGTTTACCTCATTCCATGAGCGTACAACTGCTGCTTACCTTGTTCATGACGTATCTAAGTACATAATAACCCAGCTGCAGAATATAAACAATAAACAAAAGGAACAAAAAGTCTAAATAAATAATGATCTGCCAGTAATGTGTTAAGATAAATAAGCGAATTTTTGGTGAAATCATAATTGTTGTTAGCTTTCGCGCCAAACAAAATGGCGGCTGCCAACCGGGTTGATGGCGATGAAATATTCAACTACCCTTGCGGGAAAGGCAGATCCAACGTTTGGAAGTGTTCGTATTTTGGAAGAAATGTCAGGGGTCCCCATTTGTCGAAAGGAATACACAAACAAAGGTATCTACTCATAATTTCGTGACACTATCAAGTGAATGGTCTAATAGAGAATTATTTGAAAATAGAAAAGTAAAGATGTTATGAATGTGTTGTTTACTGTATCATCATGTTATACGTGCATGATATGTATCCGTTCATACTCTTAAGTCTATTACTATCAGTACGAAATTTGAAACTACAGAATACATACAAACAAATTGAAACGTTATTGAAAACGAATGACATGTAGGCCTTGTGACATGAATTATCGTAAATCAGGTTAAAACTTGAGTACCCTTTTACTTTGCTATGTCAGAGTCACTTTTGGATATATATCTACTTGCAAATATAAAATATATGAAATAAATCCTGAAAGTTGATTTCATAAATGATAAGAGATTATTTATTTGTCGAAATCAAGAACATAATTGATATTTGTCTTGTACTTAGTCACTGAAAATATATGTTTGTGTCTATATATTTGAATTTCAATGAATTTTCTTCCAATTTCAGTAGAATTTCTAGTGAAACGTATTACATGTAGTTTAGGCTAAAATTTGTAGCCACTAGTATGATAAAATTGTTGAGGTTGGCATCTCTGGCATTGATGGTAAATAAATAATAAACCATAAAAAGAACAAATTCTTTTTCTTTTCTTTTGTTCAAATTCAACCATCTGTCTCTGAACTGAACTTACTTACCTTTAGGAGTCTGAGACAATACCAAACACATGGTCTTGTGTAACATATGTTTTATTCAGAGGTTATTCTTGTCATTTCATTTAACCGATTATTAACCGATGATTGATCGGTTGAGCCAATCCGATTGTAACCGATGATCGATTATGAAATCACAACCGATTCACAACACTAATCGCGATACGTATCGTATCGTGACCTTAAAATCGTGATACGTATCGTATCGTGAGATTGGTGTATCGTGACACCCCTAGTTATCAGCAGATCACATTAACTTGCCTATATTAACAGGAGCTGTGATAAAATTTCCACTTGTGCCTTGAAAGAAAACAGTTGACAGAGAATGCATTTGTAATTAGTGCCATACTTTGACTCTTTAAAATAATTTTTTGGGTGGTTTTACTCTTATTAGATGTTGGAATATATTATTCCAGATGCGTAAAACTTCTTTAATATAAACATATTATTGAATAAACTGAATCACTGGCAAATTGGAGACAATTTGTGAACTGATTGCAATTTCAGGCTTATTCTTAAAAATAAACGTGGTAAACTTTATCTCTGTTCACTAAACAATACCTAGCAGCACCAGAAATAGAATTTAAATAGTAACTTTCGTGTACTGTATTTTCTTTTACCTTTTTCTGTATCACAAATTTCTCAGTCCTTTGTCACCTGTCAGTTCACCTGGAAGCTTTGCAGGGATGCTATGTAGTTGTTTGTTCAGCAGTATACCCAAAATCTTTCTTTTCCCAAAATAATGCATCGCTAAAATATTGCATACTGGGCATTATGCCTGGTTGTGCACTAGTGTTGGCAATTCCAAAAAGTATGTATGACGATATTGATATGAACTGGCATATTGCAATGCATATTGCAATGCACATTGCAATGCACATTGCAATATATTGCCAAATGTGATATAGTTCTTTTACCGATTATTTTTATGCCCAAGGGATGTAATTGTTTAAAGGGCGAAAAGACAAAACAATATGATGAGACTCCTGTTGTTTTATTATCACTTTTGGCGTCACATTCACTTCAACAGCGAACTCATGTCATATTGTTGATGCCAAACTCATTTCAGAACCTAAAACGACCAGTGAAGGTCCGGGTTAGAATTGATCTTCAGTAACCCATGCTAGTCATAAGAGGCGACTAACGGGATCGGGTGGTCAGGCTCACTGACTTGGTTGACACATGTCATGGTATCCCAATTGCGTAGATCTATGTTCATGCTGTTGATCCCTGGATTGTCTGGTCCAGACTTGATTTTTTTTACAGACCGCCGCCATATAGATGGAATATTGCTGAGTGTGACGTAAAACTAAACTCACTCACTCAGAACTTAAAACAATGTAATAGCTGCATGATATTAATCTCATTAAAATTTCTTAATATTTCAAAAAGTGGAATCAAAGACAAAAGATAACTTCTAACTGGAGACAGGTAAAACTTAAAAAAAAAATGTAAAAGATTCTTAGTGTTCCAAGCAGAACTATCAATGTCAAAGATGGATGGTGATGTCTCATGTGGCCACCAAGTTCATTGAGTTTAGAGGTAAAGGGTCGATTCTTTAATGTAATGCTAACACTTTTCTTGTTAATCAAATTGTTTCAGAAGGGGGATGTATGCATTGCTTACTTGTTTTTGCAATGTTCTAAATATTTTTTCAGTTGAACCGAAACCTTTTTCTTGGGCTGCAATGGCCAGTAAAAAACACGGTGTCAGGATCTGCCCCACCTCCAGTGTCGAGCCCTACTGTCAAGTCTCAACAGACAAGACCAGAGCCCAAACCTGACCCAAGCCTGGCTGCTGCTGCTGCTGCTGCTCCACAGCCTCAGAGACCTCCAAGGTATTACCTCCCTCATCCACTTCTAAAGCATGTTCGTGTACTTGGCATTTCTCTTCAATTTTTTTTCATCATCAGTGTAAGATTTTTTGCCTGAACTTGACCAATTCCACACCTTGGGCTTATCTCACAGCATGTATATCCCTTCATAGATATGTTCATAGAATGTTTTGTCTCTCTCCTAAGGGCAACACTTGTAATGGAAATGGTCTTGAGCATCTAATGTACGGTCAAGGTCATTCGTAAGATTCTGCATTTTCACAAAACAAAATGCCTTTTTCTTGAGATATTTATTAGGGTCTTCTGCATGTCTTGGTTATATCATTTAATGACCTACCTTTCACAAGTGACTATCTTGTGAGATTAGTTTTAAGTCCCCAAAACTAACTTTCATGTAACATTTCTTGTTATTATTCCACCAATGGATCTCCCATTTGAATAGCATTTTGGTATGTTTTGAATGTTCATAAAATGTTTTGAAGTACTTGTCACTGATATTGAAGTGCAATTTCACTCTCAAGGTCATACTTTCTAAAATGTCTTTTGATTCCTCATAACTGGAAGGGTTACTACAGGTCAGTGAAACTTATACATCTGAAACTGAAAGGTTGCCAGAGCCCACAACATAAGGCAGTGTAGAAGATGTCCGATTTTTACATGCATGTTTCTCCTGAAGTTATTTGTGATTACTTTTAATATTTCTTTTACCTTTTTTCTACCCGTGTGTTTTGATCATGCTACTAAATTTTCTCAGAACATTTCCTTGCACTGTAGACATTGTCCTCAGAGACCACTTGACTTGTGTAGTTGTTACCTCACATCCTCATTCCCATTAGTGAGAGACACCTGATATTGTTTAGGTTTGTTTTTTTTGTTCTTTGTAAAAATAATTCTCAGTTTATTCCTACTTGTAATTAAGGTTGGGTATTGCCATAATTTTTGTATTGCAATATATTGTGATATGTGTTGGCTTATTGCAATATATTGTGAAAGTGTAAGACATGGTATAAGGTAATTTAATAACTGTTTCCTTTCTTTTGAAACAATGCCACTTTCAGGACTGTCAGGATTTATATGGTTTAAAAATCCCGCAAATGCAATTATATGACCAATAAACATTCTCAAAACTATTAATGTATAATAATATAAAGGATATAGAAATGTTATTAGTATTTTTGACTACATTATGAAAATTACCGATCATATGGGGTGAACCGGAATATATCATATTGTGAAGTTTGAATTGCAATACACCGGTTAACCAGTATTATCAACCACCCCTACTTGTAATATATTTTGTCATTAGAATTTAAAACGCAAGTGCCATGGAACTTTAAAATTTAGGCATAGAATGTTTTATGTGGGCAGAATTACTATATTGGGTACAGTGGAAGCAGTACAGACACTATCATATTGTGATTCAAACGTAAGGTGTCATTGCTTCTTCAGATATGGAAAGTGTGAAGGCATCTATGCTTGATAAGTAGGAAACTGCCAGTGTCTCTCGACAAGAGCCATTTGCTGGATAGAATACAAGTCTCCATCTTTGCCAATAACTTTAATTTAAATTTTTAGTCCACTTTCATATAAGTAGAATTTTGATAAATGTGGCATTTTAACTGTGAAAACATGATGAATCTTAATGTTAATCTTACAGAAAGTAAGAAATTTAGTTTATTATTTGATTCAGCAAATATGTTCGAATATTGGAGAATTTGTTATTTTGCCCTGTTTTTATCATCTTAAATTGTGTCAAAGTAAGTATTTGACTGTGTAAGCTTCTCTGAAGTAGCCAGACTGATGGGGCTAAACTTCACTATAGTCCGTTTGGCTCAAAAGCGGACCGATGAATTGCAATCTAACTCGAAAACTAATAAAAATATAATACTCAATGAAACTCGGATCATAATCAAAACATCAGACCAACTCTGTGATTTGTTTGCAGAATTTATGTCCTAATATTGAAAAGGTTGTTTAACAACTATCATTAAATGCTTGATTGGCATTTTAGAAGATGATATTTGATGAACATAGAGATTTTTCTGGGTTACATCTTCTTTTTATTCTCGAGTACAACGTTTCAGGGCTTGTTCTGGCCCCATCATCAGGTAAACTGAACAGTAACTGTTAACTCTGGCCGTGACGTCACAATGCTATGACGACGCAATACATGTGGTCAATAGATACAGATGACATGGCTAATAGAATACATGTTATTATGAATATATAAGATGTCATTTACTGCAAAATTAATGGATCAATTTAGAACTGTGCAGATACTTATACAAAATTGTTGATTGTACATTTCTAATTCAATCAACAATTTTGTATAAGTATCTGCACAGTTCTAAATTGATCCATTAATTTTGCAGTAAATGACATCTTATATATTCATAATAACATGTATTCTATTAGCCATGTCATCTGTATCTATTGACCACCACATGTATTGCATCGTCATAGCATTGTGACGTCATAAGCATTATGACGTCACGGCCAGAGTTAACAGTTACTGTTCAGTTTACCTGATGATGGGGCCAGAACAAGCCCTGAAACGTTGTACTCGAGAATAAAAAGAAGATGTAACCCAGAAAAATCTCTATGTTCAACTATCATTAAAATTTTGACACAGTTACGAGGGAGGAGTGCAGAGAAAAGGACAGCCAGGTGTTACAGAGGCACATGTACAAGTGCCGACAAAGTTATTGATTCATTAACCTGTGCTGTGCCGTCTCCATCCTTTCTCGCACACCAGGCTGTCCCTTTCTTATTTTTAGGACATAAATTCTGCAAAAACCTCAGAGTTGGTCTGACGTTTTGATTATGATCAATGTTTCACTGAGTCTTTTATGTTTATTAGTTTTCGAGTTAATTGCAATTCACCGGTCCGCTTTTGAGCCAAACGGACTATAGGTAATTTGATCCTTATGACATGAAGCCCCATTTAAATCATTCAGCTAAAGTGTTTGTTTTTAGTTCGCTTGCTTGCAACAGAAAAGAGGCTAAGTGCAACATTCATGAAATGTGTTTTTTTGGAAGTGCATTTGAAATTTATCATATACCTTAGGTTGTTTTTTATTATTTTTGCAGTATGTCATTATTTTTTTATGTGAATTGTCACATTTGTCAGAATATTCATGGAAGGTTAAACATAATTGTTTTAATATGGAGAGGGGTGGTTCAGAGTCCCATGAATAAATAAACACTTTCTGAATATTATTTCTTTTGAGATAATATTTTATACGGTAATACTTTTTAATGTGTTTTCTGGATTTTACCCAGTACTTTCATTTCATAATTGAGGTAATCCTGCATTCTTAACTGTTTTGTGAGGTTATTCTTTGTCAGAATGGAAAGTGTTATAATCTTTTAACTGTCAAAATGCAGTATGCACTCTTCTAATTTAGTTGATAGGTGGTCAAATTTAGATTGTTTTGAATCTACTGGTTGATCAAACTGTACTGAGTCCTTGAGATAAGGCCCATAAAGGATAGCAAAGTTGTTTACATGTCATTTCAAACCAAAGTCTTCTGTTTCCTTGCGTTTTGTTCCCAAGAATACTGAATAGTTTATGCTGATCAAAAGCTTTCACTGTGTGACCTTTGTATTGCTGGTCAAAATCAGATATGCTCATAATTTCAATCACTGGTTTGTGGTCTTAATATGTCTTCAAATCAAATCTTTATTTCCAATACTATGAGGCCACGGGCCTATGAGTACAACAAAAAAACACCTCATCGGTGCAGACATGAAATGTAATAACAATGAAAGCATTTACAGCATATACATGTCTTAATATGACAAAATTGATTTCCTTTTTTCGAATGCATAAAGCAAATATTTAGCAGTATCCATGGAAATGTCTTCATTTTTGGATGATAACAATGAATTGAATTTTAGTATATTGGGGAAAACAGAATTGCAACAAAAGATATGTACGTCTTAATTCAATGTAGGCTGGACAGATAAGTAAGAAGTGATATTCATTTTCAATTACGTTTAAGTTACACATTTTGCATGTTCTTTGTTCCCTGGGAATGTTATAGTAACGACCTCTTTCAATTTCTAAACTATGGGAACTTAACCTAAATCGTGATACACAAGATCTATATTTGGATACAGTAATATGAGTTAAGTAAGTTTCACAAGAAATCGTTAATTTAGAATTACTATACGTAAACATTGTAGGGCTCTCAGATAAATCACTGTGCCAAACTTACCGAAAATTATCTTTCAGTCGTTGAAAAAACATTTTAACAAAAACGTTTTTATCTCCGTAAGTGTGTGATACCCAACCATCACCAAAACCTAATTTAAATATGATATTTCTAACTTTGGTAACCCAGTTCTCATAACCTTGCTCATCATATATACGCATCATATTGTAACATTTTCGAGGCAAACGGCATTCGGGCATGTTAATAAGATTTAACCAATATTTAATACATTTTAAAACAGCAGATAATTGAACAGTATATTTACCGCACTCGGCTAATACTCCATTATTGGACGTTGATAACTTAACGTTTAGAAAACGTTTGCAAGCATATAAATGTACTTTTTCCAGTTCTTCCATATTATTAAGCCCCCAAATTTAAGCCCCATAGAGGAAAATTGGTGTTATCTTTGTATCGAATAATTTGAAGTACAGATGAGGCAAGTGTGGTTTCAAAGAATGTATACTACTAAGAAGTAATGACAGCATTTTTCTGGCTTGAATAGAAATATTGTCAAACGCTTTCGACCACTGTAACCTATTACTAAAATACAATCCGAGATAACAATATCCTGAAACAACTTCAACAACACAACCATTATAAAACCATTTTTGAAAACCGAGATAAACCACCTCCTTTCTTAAAAACTACAAGTTTAGTTTTATGCATATTGACTGACAATTTCCATTCTGAACAGTACCTGCTAAGAATATCTAGTTTAAACTGCAGACTTCTCACGCTGTTCCCAACCAAACTAAGGTCATCCGCAAATAAAAGAAGGAAAATATGAGTAACATCTGGATGTAGCTGAACACCAAACCGACATTCACTTTCAATTACATTATTCATTTATATAAAACTGAAACAAAAAGGGGCTGAGCATACTCCCTTGTCTGACTCCCATCGGGCAATCAAATACACGAGATAAATTACTATTTGAACAAACACAGGATTTTAGACTATTATAAATAGACTCTAACATTTTACCCATTTTACGACTCAGACCGTGTTTATATAATAACTTCCAAAGAGAATGTCTTTGAACAGAATCGAAAGCTTTTGAGAAATCAACAAAAGCTACATAGAATTTACCACCTTTGCGAGAAAGATAACGCTCGATAATATGTCTTAATGTTGCATGAAACAAATAACAATAATTGTAACAAACAGTGAGCTACCACTGAGTAAGGAGTTGGCACTAAAAATTAGGGTCCACTTGCACGAAGCGATCTTAGTGCTGAGGTGATTGTAACTCCCATACTTTAACATAGACTTACAATCATTGTAGCGCTGAGATCGCTTTGTGCTAGTGGATCCTGGTGAGTGAGGTAAAATTGAACGCCATCATTCCTTTTATAGACATGAGTGTATTTTTGTTATACATTGTAATGTTGTGTGGTTTGTTGTTTCCATGTATATAGGTCAGTCTCTTACAGCATGGCTTGCTCTGTCTCTCCTATTGTTAATCTGTCTGTGGTTGTAGGACTTTCAATGATGAAGGGCCTGATTCTTTTAGACAAGCTCGGGAACAGCGGAGTGAACAGCGAGGCGAGAGAACAAGTATGAGTCGAGATGATGGTGACAATGACAGTATCAGTGGAAGAAGGGGCTCTCGCTTTCCAGATAGCCACCAGCTCTTTGTTGGAAACCTACCACACAACATTTCAGAAAAAGAACTGAAAAGTTTTTTTGAACGTAAGTTCAGGTCACAAATCTGTATTAAATGAATGTGTGTATTGAATGCAGTTTGTGTTAAGAATAAACAGTTATATTTCCCAGTGCAATGTGTCATGTCTTGATGAAGTTTCACCTTGGCAAGGCCAAAACTTTTCTTGCCTTTTTCTTTACATAGTTTTTGTAGTTTTATGTTTCAAGTTATTGATTGAAAATATTTGAATGTGTCCTTTGCCTTTAGAAAAGTTTTCACTAAATGGATGCTAGAAAATTTGATCTGAAACCCTGACCATATATTTGTCAGGGATTTTACCTGGACTCAAAAAACATGGGGGTCCCGTGTGTAAAGAACTGTACATATGATAATGTACTTTAGAGCCTGGAATGACTCATTGATCATGGAGACTGATGGATGAAATAATGCGTGTTACTGCTCTGAAAGGAACAACCAAACACTTAGCATAGTCATAGATGTTTTGTTGGTACAATGAATAATATTGTACGTCCCTCTGGACACAGTGAATTGTTTATTTGCATCCATTCTCTGCATTTGTGCATACTGGATGCACATTTGCGCCTGTTAGAGCTATGTCTACTTACTCAATGCACTCTTGTTCGAGGAGTTTTCCAATAAATAGCTATTTAAGGCCCCCCAAAAATATATGTCAGTTTCCTATTACATGCTTATGAAAATATCATCCTGGATTTGGATGAAAATGATGAGTTGAAATGCACTCCAGTCATGATTTTGACTTGGGTAAAAAAAGATTTAGGGTCGGGGGGGGTTAGGATAGGGTCGGTCGGGTAACCGGAAACGGACATTTAAAAAAAAAGATAATTAGGATTTGTACCTTGAAAGCATTTTAGCATTTGTCAGGAGTTACATTTTCCTTGTTTTATGCTGTTTTTTAAATGATGCAAAGGCCAGCAAACTAGTCAATGATATATTAGGTTGAAAACAGGAGTCCATAATTTATATCCTCTTTTTCAGACTATGGAAAAGTAATGGAACTCAGAATCAACACTAAGAGTGGTGGGGGAAAATTGCCAGTGAGTACCTTTTTTTGTGGTGTTGCAAGCAAATCTGGCTGAAAATCGGCACATCTTATGGACTGCGGGTGCATTATCCTGTGTGGGTGTCATCAGTGAACACCTGTACCTCAGGACACTTCAATATCAAAGGTGCTCTTTCCCACTGAAGAAGGTATCCCTGGAACAAACAATACCATTACGGCACCAGTTTCGGTTGCTGCATAACCATTTGAAATGTTCTTGAAATATGTACATGAGATATTGAAGTTCAAAACCACCAGTGATGGATCTAGAGTGCCTCATGTGGCATTGCAACACAGAAATGTAAAAGGTCCAGTACATTTCACTCCCATGGGCCCCATACATTTAAACTGAATGCTCATAATTTTGAGTTTAACAGTGTTACTGTGATCCTACCTGTCACAACAGATTATTTGTTATTTCTAGCTGAGTCATGAGACTGTTCTGTGTTGAAAACCCTGCCCTTTATTTATAGTGTTTATTCATTATTGCAATGGCCAAATGTCTGTTATCATCCAATTTCTAGATTCACCACTGATATCACTGACAAAATTTGCATTTTGTTCATACTATAACTGAAAAAGTTTCATGTGGTGGCCTCAAACTGCATATGAGCCATTTGAGTGTCGCATTGATGTGCAAGATTGTTATTGACATACATTATGTGTTCCGTTCACTGGAGTGGTCATTTTTATGTTGTTCAGTTTCTCTGTAATGGTCAAGCCCAGTGTTTGTATTGGGGATTGTTAACTTTGCTGAAATATTTAATGAATCAAAAGTTGCAAGCACGTTTTGTAGTTGATAAACAGGACCTTTTCTTTTTTGCAAATCTTGCTTCATTAGATACATAGTCGGTGTTACTGGCTATATATGACGAGGACATATAACGTTGGTGCAGCATCAGTTAATAAGCATCTATTATATTGAATTCCAGTGCATGCTAATGAACATATTTAATGGAAAAAATGTGTATATTGATTCCCATTTATAATGTCGTCATTCCCATGAATTAGTCCAAAATAATATTGTGACATTGTAGGCAATTTGAAGTTAATTAATTTTGAAGGTCGTCAACATTGTTGGGTCAGAATTCGTCTTCAGCAACCCATGCTTGTATCAGGTTGTGAGGCTACTTAGTAACAGACCGTTGTCATAAAAGCTAGAATATTTCTGAGAGCGGCATTAAACAGCAAACAAAAATATTGTTGGGCTTCAATGACATCAGTCTATCTGGTAGACCGCTCAGTAAACCTGTTTACCCTTGAAGACACCAGCAAACCATTTGTGGGGATGTTGTCTCGAACATCTGTCAGCAAGATTGTAGAAATTGCATTGTAAAATAATGACATGTTTTAAAGGTTGGTGATAAATTCTAAGGTGTGAGACCAATTGAAAGTACCATATGAACAAAATGAAGTGAAAAGACTTCATGATATAATCTCTTGAAAAGGAAATATTTCTGATGTGTGCATCCAACACTGTTAAACAACATTCCCTTCTGTTTCTATTGTAGCAGATTAAGAACAATTGAAATTTAGTTCCTTTCTTGTATTTGTAAATTACAATTTGTGTCTTGAGGCTGTCAGTAGCTTGTGATCAGTGAATCAATTGTTGCCCAACATAAGCAGTACAGCAAAAGTGTCAAGGCACTGTTTTTGTTTACGTGTTCAGAATGTTTCCTTGCGTGTTCAGATGTTTCCTTAGTAAGATGAGGTACTCTGAAATTTGCATTGAGCTAGGTGATACATACAATATTGTAGTTTGAAAAATGGTTGAGTGATGTTTTGAAGTGTTGTATGTCTGTTTGCAGAATTTTGGTTTTGTGGTGTTTGACAGTCCTCAGCCTGTACAGGACATCTTGAGAATTAAGGTATGTATTCTACACTTACTCAGCCTTCTGTGCATGTGCTTTTGGACAAGTGAGCTGAAGTCAGATAGTCCGTCAAATTTCTCTGAATCCACCATGAAATTGAAATTTGGCACACACTTCCTCTATTGATGATTCAAACTTTTTTTCAAGAACTTTTGAAATTGTTAATATGTCAGTCATGGCAAGTTTTTTTAAAAGGACATCTTGGAAGACGTTTTTGTAGATAATAAATCCTCTGTAGAATATGTGCACTATTTATGTAGCTGATTTGTATCTTATGAGTATTTTATTAACATTCACCTGGATTTTAACTTTGCACTCCATTTTGACTGTGGTCTTTATTTAAAAATACTCACTGGTTTCAGTAGATTTCATCTCTACAGATATCACTGGACCAGTGAAGCTAAAGCTTCTGGAAGTTTGAGTCTGTTTTGAAAAAAAAAATATCTATCTATGGCTATTGTTAAACTATTTTTGGTTATATTTACTGCTTGAAGAGGGGCTGTGGGGTAGACTAATGGTTAAAGAGTTTACTCATCACGCTCATGACCTGGGTTCGATTCCCCAGATGTGTACAATGTGTGCGAAGCCTATTTATAGTGTCCCCTGCCCTGATATTGCTGGAATATTGCTCAAATCCGTGTAAAACCATACTCACTGTTCGAAGAACTCAACAGGTTTTCACAGTCTAAGTAAACTTAGGCTCAGTATTATTCGTTACACTGCTATACTGAGTCTAACAAAACCTTGTGGTAGGTCGCGTCAGGTAACCTTTAATCGACCTATGACCGTCCAATCAAAGGTGAGACGGCCGAACGGATTTAACCAGTCAGACAACGTCTACTGTTTAGGGTTCGGCGGGACTTACAAAATGGATTTTCTCGTCCCCGGTTCGCCTCCCAACAAATGAAAATCCGCATAAAACACTGCTATTTGACATGCAGTATATACGCTTTGGGATTCCTGTTGATATGGTTATATTTAGCTAATATTGCCACAAGTTGACATGCTTTAATACTGACAAAAAGCTATTTTCGGCGAATGTTTACTCACTGCTGTGTTGTGCGTCACTAGCAACCGATCGTACGGAAAATAGCATTCGGAATCGTTCGGGTACAAACTTTTTCGAGGTAAAAGTTTAAAAGGTATGTGCGAATGTCCACTTTCGCGATTTGGTAAGCTGTGTTCTGATTGGTCAATTCGAAAGGTTACCTGACGCGACCTTCCACAAGGTTTTGTTAGACTCAGTAAAGCAGTGTAACGAATAATACTGAGTCTAAGTTTACTTAGACTGCAGGTTTTCACAATGTATTAAATTGCAACTTTTAGTTCTACATTGTGCCTTTTCCAAGTTCAAATCTGTGATAGTTAACTACAGTTATAATAAGCTCGAAGAGAACACCCATTATATTTGGTTATAACAGCAGTTTGTTAAGAACATAGTTTACTCAATCTTTTCCTTGAAAAAGATCGTGGCAATTGTTTAGTTTTAAAGTAATACAAAGAAATAAAAAGCTCTTTACTGACCGAATTTAATTCTCTTTTGTTATAGCAAACTCAGCCCATTAAGTACAATGGTGAACACAGATTAAATGTTGAAGAAAAGAAGCCCAGAGGAGATGGTGGTCGAATTGGAGGAGGTGGTCGTGGTGGAAGTACACGTGGTGGAGGAATGGGCCGGGGCTCAAGTGGTTTTGGTGCCCCAGGGCGTGGTAACATGAGGTCTGGAGGAGGCGGAATGGGACGAGGAGACAGAGGAGGGTTTGCGAGCCCAAGGGGCGGCCTTCAAATGGGTGGAGGACGACGCTGATGATGATGGTCCATGGTGCTTAAACTTCTGAAAGTATGCAATTCTGAGCTGAAGTAGACAGGCATATCAAATTTGAAGCTGTCTTTAAAATGGTCCCTTCTGGTGCAGTCAGTACAGCTGTATGGTTGTTTGATTGTGCTTTGTTTTTGAATTATAGTAAAGTTCAAAGCAAAGTGCACCCTCTATTTAAGAATACTTTGTGATTATTATTTTGTCCTAAACGTGTCTAAGAATGGGGCAATGGAGTGGAATGGACTTTCAGTGATACAAAGAAACCCTCCTTTCCCTTGTCAGTGCATCATTCCTTGAGATGAACGATAGAACCAATGAAACCAATTTAAAAAAATTGTACAGTAAAGTAATATAAGACGTGCGCAGAACGGGTCTCAATTGGTTTGCATTGGTGCTTCTGAATACTGGTGTTGCTCAGTGATACAAGGAGTGATGTGAGTGATGGCAGAATTGCATATTTTCTCATCTTTATATGTGAACTGTGTCATTGTTACATGCTGCATAAAATACAAAAAAAGACTCCTGGTTTTGTCTGTGGCAGTTCCATTTAGCTGTAACAACTTCAAGATCCACTCATGTACATTTGTTGTAAAAATGGATTAAAACATGAAAATTATGAAAGATCAGTGTTATTTTCATACTGTTTAAAAGAAACTGTTTTTTAATATATATATATATTTTTTCTTTTTTTTCTTCTTTTTCTTTTCTCCTCTTTATTTTTTTGGTCCACAAATGTGAATTGACATAGAATGTTTGTTTGATTGTAACACTATGCAAAGTATGTGCAGGTAAATATCATCTCCATGCTTTGTTTTTCTGTGCTCTGTAATCTTCTTTCCCTGCTCGCCACTGCTGCCTCTGTTTGTTACTGTGTGCCAAGCTGTTTCAGAGGGCAGGGGAAAAGAACATTCCTTCTTGTTGCTAGCCTCATATATCCCTAACCCCATCCACTCCATAGTCGGCAGTTAATCATGGCGATAAAGCTCTTATTTGAAGTATTACATAGTATTGAAGGGACATAAGGGAAATATATTTTAAGGTTGCTGTTATAAGGAAGTTGAAGTTCACTGGGTAATAGGGTTTTGCATCCATAAATCCTTTGTGGAAACCCTGCCATTGCAGATAATTTGTCAGTTGTCATGCAAAACAGTTGCCAGTGATTAGAGAAAAATAAGTTCATTTTTCAATGTCAATCATCAATCCATTTCATTAGATTGATTTGTTTGCAGTGTGTAAATCAACTATTTATTACATTTATTGTTGGGCTAAAATTAATGAATTTAATATGTCATAATATGTTCATTTTACATCAGTTGCTCATATAGATCAGCCTGCAGATACTTAACCAAAGAAACTTGGCCTCTGAAATGTATCTTATGACTGGTTGCCTTTTTTGTTTGGCTCATCACAATTCTGAACACCTTCAGCATTTTGAATAGGTTGAGAACAACGCTGGTATGTAGAATTCCAATGATATTCCTTCTGAAGCTACCAGGTTGTTACGACTGACCTCAAACTATAATTGATACCACTGAAATTCTATTCAGTTGTGACAAAACAAGAACCTAATCAGATTTGTAACTTCAGCATCACAGAATGCCGGTTGTCTTTCATTCGTCAGATACAAGTCTGGTATTTCCTATTTCCATGTTGGCATCTTGTAAGATATCACGTACTCACCTGCAGTGGCATTGTGAGAAGATGACAACCAGTAGGTCATTATCACCTGTCATGACTGCCTGGTTCACTTTTCTGTGTTCCTGTGGGCATCAGTTGTGAGACCAATCTTGTATGTATTGTATATTCCAACTGAGGTGGTTTCCAGTTCCCAACAATTCTTGATGTAATCGGATACAAATCAACTGTCCAGCTGCACGTTTTCAATAAAATTCCTAGGATTTTTCGTGGAGAGTTTTGTCATTTGTGTTAAATTTAGACATAGGAGTTTGGTTTAGTTACTTCTCTAATAACTTTTGTAAGTGAGAGCATTTATTTCTTGACAGTCGTTAAACTTTTCTCTTTATACAAATTAAACTATAGATATGTGTGTGTACTTCTGCACTATGTTGGTACCAAGTAATTGTTAGTAAAATGGCCCAATGCATCTGAGAATATTGATGTGTACAACAAAATCTCTATTACTGATTTCATGAGATTTGCCCTTCAAAATGACATTCGAAATGAAATGTTGAGACAAATGTATTGCTTATACACCAGCCTCTCAATTGGAATACTTAGTGTCTGTACTGCAGGTCTGGTCTTGAGGGTCATGCTTCTGTATGCATCCTGGCAAGATGGTGGTTGCTGGCACTTAAAGAGGTTTTTTGCATTAAACTTCAATAACCAATGTGGTATTAACCAAACAGGTATTGCAAATGTTCATGAAATGCATGCATGAAATTGGATTAGATGTCACTGGTTCACTTGTTGGTACTATTTCTTCATTTTAATCGATGACCTTGGCAATCCTGCAGCTTGGTAAACATCACTGGGCAAGGGCATTTTACAGGTGGTATCTGGCTACAATGTTTCATGAATGTCAAAGGGTATTGTGACGCGTTTGTGGTACTGAATAAACATCCACAATATTCCTATAAACCTGAAAGTATGTGTAAAACTGCAAGAGCTGCATTTTTGTGACCATCTGACAAGAAGTTATTCATGCTGACACGGCAAAGATGTTGATATTATCAATATCAGTTTTCCTAGATGGTTCAACCTGATGGTTTTTATATATGAATTATGCTTTTGATGACAATACTTTCGTCTTCTCCCTTTCTTCCTGTGAAACAAGAACATGATTTGAGAGTTACGAAAGTTTTAGTTAAGGTGTGAGCATGTTATGTGTAAACATCTCCTCTTCACAAGACACATCAAACTGAACTTCCATACTTGTTCCCGCAAATGATACCCCATTTGACTTTTAGAAAGACCCGATTTTGTATTTCAGACATGGCCCACTATTTGGATGGTGGATGGCAAAATTTAACCATGTCATAAAAAAGGACAAGCTGTGTACCATATTTTCACTGCCTTTTTATATTTTATTGATTAGTTTGAAATATTACTAATGGAATTAACGTGCATGTACAACGTTTATATATTACTAAGCAAGATTATGAAGTATATTAATCATCATTTGTGCTTCTTGAAAAACCCATAATACGCATATATCACAATTGGTTATTCCAAGACCTGTAATACACCATCCTCGATAATCTCCACTATACCCTGGATGCATCCTCGTCTTGGCCCGATGATTTTATTACCTGCCTTTGCTGGCTTTCTATCCAGTCAGGTGTCTACGCTGGGAAGTTGAGCGTACCAATCACAACTCACTTTCGCTTTTTAAATAATCGAAACCGATTAAACTTGGCAAGGTAATAATATATTGCTGCAGAGGTACTCTGAAAGAGGTAGGACTTCTTGCTAATATTTGTTTAAGATTTCAGACGTGTCACTATGTCTGTTTCCAAAAGGAAAATCTGGGTCGCACTGCGAACAAACTTTCGCGGCTGCGACAGCTATCTTTGTTGAGGCAGGCAAACTCGGATGTAACGGCGGCTTAGCTGATGGCTACTGTGAGAATGCGGAGCCAGCAAAGGGAGGTAATATAATTATCGGGTCAAGCCGTGGATGCATCCAGGGTATAGTGGAGAGTCATCGTAACATATACCATGGAGATTATCGAGGATGGTAATACACGTGCTGTTTCTAATTATGTTAAGTAAAATCTTTAAGGTTGCTTCACAAAGTGTAATGATGAAACTAGTGTTGATCATGAACATCTGTTAGAGAATGAAATGAGATCCAATAATACTAATGACTTCTTTCCAACCAAGCTGATGGCCGAACTTAAATGATAGTTCGGAATAACTGTAAATTCCTCATGTCCAGTTCCTATTGGTACAATGTTAAGATCTTTGTAAGGGTAAAAAAATAAAATAAGTCTCGTGAGAGTACCAATACTCTTAAAACTACTTTCCTGCATGAGGCAAGTCGATAAATTCTAAATATATGTACTGAAAGGCAAAAATAAACGTAATATTGGAAATGACATTTAAGTATCGATGGGGTATTTGAACCTTCTTTTTTTTTAAATGTACACCGGAAGTCAAATTTGAGGAAAAGTTGAATCGTGGTCCTATAGCTTGTTTTGCCTAATAAAGTACTGATTGAGACCCTACTTACAAAAAAGAGCATATGCTTTCTATTTACAGCAAATATACTGAAAGGCTAAAGAAACGTAATATTGGAAATGACATTTAAGTATCAATGGAGTATTTGAACCTTTTTTTAAAAAAATATACACCGGAAGTCAAGTTTGAGGAAAACATGAATCGTGGTCGTAGAGCCTGCACTGACCAATGAAATATTGTTTGAGATTGAGGTTCGAAATGTGTTTGTTTGTGGCAAGGGAAGAGTTCGCACAAACACAACATTGAAATCGAGATGCACGTGCATCATGCATGCATTCAGGTATAAATTGCCAACTTGAATGGCAATCGTTCACTTGTTTCCTGAACACAGCAGCTATGGCTTCCAAGTGGTTTGAATCCTATCTTCATCATAGATGCCAATCAATGGTCATCGATAAAGCCTCATCAGATCCAGTTCCCCTTAACTGCGGGTACCACAGGGTTCGGTCCTTGGACCGATCCTATTCATCCTATATACAGCTTCTCATTTCCCGAACGAGATACCTCTACAGCACTTAGTGACCTTGAACACTGCACATATGCGATACTATCCTGGATGGTGACTAACAAACTTTAAGTTAAACGACAGTAAGGCAGAGCTTCTTCCTGTGGGTACAGACTCCAAACGAAAATCTATCTCTGATGAATCTTCGCTTCTTATTGTTAACTCATCAATACCATTCTCAGATGCAGTGAAAGATCTTGGTGTCTTTCTAGACTCTAATATGACAATGGACAAGCATATAGAGCACACCTGTAGAATCTGCTTCTACCACCTGAGAAGTATTTGCCAGATTAGACATTAGTTGACTCAGGAAGCCACTAGCCAGTTAGTAAGGTCTCTGATTCTGTCCAGGATTGACTATGGCAACAGTTTGCTTATCAACATAAGGCAAGATCTACTCGTGAAGCTTCAGGGAGTACAACATGCCTCAGCTCGTCTAATTCATCGCTGCAAGAAAACGTCCAATATTACACCAACATTGATGAATCTCCACTGGCTCCCAGTACAAGCTGGAATCGAGTTCAAAGTGTTATCCCTGACCTACAGCTGTTGCTATGACGTTGCACCAGAATATCTGAAAGAACTTCTCCAGAAATATACTTCTAGCAAAAAACCTGATATCCAATGATCAACTTCTATTTACCATCCCTAAGATCAATCTCAAATCCTTCGGCCAGAGATCATTCTCATTCTGTGCTCCTCTCTGGGACTGTCTTCCTTTTGATATCAAATCCTTCCCATCTTTAGCTGTCTTCAAGTCTAAACTTAAACCCCATCTCTTCTCCAAGTACTACCCTTGATACCTGCCCTTGGAGCAACCGCAACCGATGGAAAATAGCGCAATATAAAATGCACTAATTATTATTTATTTATTATTATGGCTAGTATGTTAACGAGAGATCAACGACAAGTCACTGGACGTTTAGACACTGGTCAACGTGCTCGAGTCACTGCTAATGACTTCAATTGCAGCATACGAACGATAGAACCTCTTAAAGACAGTGATACAACGCCACCAACAGCACTGATGACCGTCCGCACAGTGGTCCACCCCGTGTAACATGCGGACCGTCATATCGTCTATCGACACCTCTCATTATCCTAGCCATAGCTGCTATGTTCAGAAAACAAGTGAACGACTGCCATTCAAGCCGGCAATTTCTGCCTGAATGCATGCATGATGCACGTGTGCTTGTGCGAACGCTTCCCTTTCCACAAACAAAACCATTTCTATCCTAAATCTCAATCAGTACTTTATTGGGCAAAACAAGCTATATGGTCTAGAAGCCAGACCCCTAAAATGGTGAAAATGTGGTGCAGTTCTGGCGACCAAACGGGATGTGATTTTTCACAATCAGGAATGATTTAGCTTTGATCTAAAGCCGGTTGTCATCAGCTCCCACGCGTGACTACCGTACAGGGGCCATTTTAAGGTGCAACATGTCATGTCAGTTATCGCAATATTTTAATCGACAACTGGATGGTTTAATTTAATAACTCTGGTTTGGTTTGACCGATTTTAAAAAAAATAGTAGTTTTGGAATGCTCAGACCATGATTTACATTTGTGGACAATAATATTACATATATGCTCATCGCAAAAAGTACTTTGGTAAGGTTAAAGGTAAAAATTTATAGAAAGGGCATTTGATGAGAAAATATGAGTTGAACTTTACAAATTAAAGGTAATTTTTCCAAAATTATGTTTTTCTGATTCAGCTATGACATTTGAAGATCATATATACCGTTGGTTGGCATTGTATTCATGAAAAACCATTACAACGAAACAAAGGTTGGTACTTTGTATTTAGATCAGCAATATATTACACAATGTCTGTTCAACAGTAACAGCACCATGTTTTACATAGTCAACGATACTAAATATGTCAAAGATACTGTTGGACTATCATTAAAATCACACAACATAACAGAAAGCTCTCAAATGTATAATTCAATTATTCAAGATGTCTTTCTTTAATCATCAAAGAATGATGAGTCTGTCATGTCATCATAACACAAGCAACATTGCCTTTATATCAATTCGTACTTATTGTTCATAATAGTCATAGTGTATTCCAAGTTGACATGTTAGCTAATGTCAACTTTGTCAAGATCACGGGAACATGTTTCAAGTCTACATCCACATGCCGAAATACACAACAGATTCAACCTCTTGCAGCTACACCTTCCTGTACATAGA